TTTGGGAACAGTAGGGAATCTAAAAAATCTTACTGTCTGTGTCACCCCTTTTGCCCCAATTCAGTACCGTGCACAACTTGGTTATAATGAAAATACAATATGTGCCAAACATAGACCCAATAAGTGTGTGCATTATGTGCATTGGGTACAGAACCACTTAATATAGAACCATTTTATATAGAAATGGTGCGCGTATTTTGAATAAACGTACGTAAATGAATTTAAAAAAATAGAAATGTAAGTGTAAAGTTTGAAAAAAAAGTTATTTAATCAATTTCCGGAATTGGTATTTTGTATAATACTGAAAGTTTTTATAATACTAAATAATTAGGCATTGCAATCTTCTCATTGTAACGGGTACTTAGCAACTGATCCTATTCTTATTAGTTTTGTAATGAGGCGAATGAGTTCTAAAACTTGAATTGGCAACGAAGTTGCAATCACTTGCAAATTTAATGTGCAGTGATATTTCAGCTTCGCTATCTGGCGTTCGCCGTATTCAATTGTATCAGCTTATTTTTCTTTTATAGTTATTTATCCTTCGAAGATTTTGTAACCATTGCTATTAAGAAGGACTCTGCACAGGTCAGCATCAAACATTTAGCTTCGACATGAAATAATTCGAATGAAATAAATTAGTTTTTAACACACAGAACATTTAAAACCATACAGTTATATTATATGTCATTATATGTTATATTATAGTCAAATATTTAATGTATATCTAAAATGTACATGACCAAAATTATACTACGATATTCAAGTCAATACACCATCTTTAAATGGTAATTTCCAACTCATTCAGCCATTTGGAGACTAAATAGGTTTTAGTATTTGTCTTTACCTTTGTATGGTCTCGTCTGCCTGAATAACATGCACAATAATAGCAGTTTCATGAATATTATAGGTCTTACATTAAGGAGTCATCCAGTGGCGGATCTAGGGCTGAGGCACAGGGACCACTCCCTCCCCTAATCCATTAAAAAATGCAATCTGTTCAAAAGAACTACCACAATCAATTATTCATCGTTATTAAGCCAATCTTTTTTTTTTAATAATTTTGTACTCATTCATAGAATAAGGAAAGTCACCCATAGCAAGAAAATTATTTTTTTTATTTCAAGCTAAGAATTATTCTAAAAAAATTAAAGACACTAAATATAGGGAATGGAGGATACCGAACTGAAATCGTCTCTCCATTGAAACATTTTCTGGACACTGCTCTGGAGTTAGGTCTCAGTCATGAATCCTGCGGATCGTTTTCACAAACACCGTATTCTTCTTGTCACGTCTAATTCTAGATATGGTCCAATGTCAGGAATTGTATCTATCTGGCAAAACGTCGCTCACGCTATTGTTTGCCAAGTATTTGTGTGAAAATTATTGGGGCTAAGTTCTTGGAAATTTCAATAGGAAAGATTCTTTTAGGTGATCTTCACGGGTTCATATAATCATGAACAGCAGGAGCGGATCCAGAGACGATTTATATTATATTTATCTATATAAAAATTATAAACAATGTAAATAATTTACAATACAATGCTTTTAACAAAATTAAAATATTAAATTTAATGTTGAATGAATACTTCATGTTTTAAAATTTAATAGTAATAAAAATGTAATAAAATGTAATAAAATGTAATAAAAAAGAAAATAGTAATAATTTATTATTAAAAGCGTTGAATTCAGAGCAGCAAAGCTACTAAGGATTAGGATAATATATTTTGCATTCTATGATACAATTATGAACACATAGAATTCAAATAAAAACGCATGATATCGATTTAAAAATTAAAAATTCGTTTACTTACAAACATTACTGACCAGGACTGAAGAACGTTGCCAGGATTTCACAAAATATGTCTTAAGCCTCTTCTACTTTTTCTTTTAATTAGATTTCTTTCTCTTTTCTTCTTATTTGTTATTTATTTTCCTCTTCCTAAGTACTTAATTAACCGCGCCGTCTCCAGGCACATGTCAGCGATTAATGCCCTATTCTTTTGTTTAAGGCACACTGTAATTGCGCGAAATGACACAGCGGCCCATGATCACTCACTTGGCACCTAGAAAGAGACCTTACTCCGTCAACATTGTTTCGAGTTGTGTCGGCCATCCACCAATATGTGGAGTAAGAAAAAGAGCTGTCACACGTCTCTGGAGAACAGTCAAAGCTATCTTCCATACGAACCATTGGTCTAAAATACAGTGAGATTCAAGATTTCCATTCCTAACTAAAAGCCTAAGGACACAACTCGCGGTTATTTTCTTGAAACATTTTAGACGTTTCTTCAAGTTTTTCTTGAGCTATTCATTTTTACTTTTCTTGTACTTTTACCATTTTAATTTTTTTGACGATGTTTTAGCTCATCAAAATCCATTAATTATTAATGCCCGTTAATTATTATATGTCCCCATCCTAGGGACACAATATACTCGTAAATGCCCGACTGAGTCGAGTGTGATCAGTACATTCATATAGTTTTTGATTCAAAATGTTTTGGGCGATTGTGTCATATTACAGACTAACTGAGCTCATGTTGCAATACGATTTTATTCGCAAATATTTTTAAGGAATAGAGATACAGTTATGTAATTGTGCGCAAAAAAAACTGCGAATTTTTGGCAAAAAACCTCTTATTACAGGGCCCTATTAACGAAAAAAAATGATAAATCCAGTTGCTAAATTTAGAAAAATCCTCTACCTCTAGGTGTAGCAAGATTCTGTTTTGTGGGTCCTTGAAACCGAAAAATCGAATGACGGCAAAAGGTCTGTCAGTCTGTGAGCAACGCTAGCTCATAAACCGATCAGCCGATTTTCTCCAAAATTGATATTCGCCAATCGATCTGGTTGATGGTACGGACCTAGAAATTTGAAACCGATATTTCAGTTTTCAGGGGTACTTGAATGCGTTGGGATATTTTTTCAAATAAAATAAAAGGCTCCGTTAGTTTTGATTAGATTTTTTGTTAGTGTGAAGAACGTTTAAAAGAAGGGTGCTCATATTCGTTGAAGAACATGATTTTTGAAAAATTTCAAAAGTTGAAAATTTTTTCGGAGTCTCCCTACAAGTACAATTTTAAAGATAGAGATTTTTTCTCTTAATGAAATCTGTTCTTTAACGATATATTTTGGAATAAGGTTATGTACAATTTTTCGAAAATTTGAGTACTTTTCAAGTAATTTTACGTAAAAATAGGGCGAGAATGTATGTGCTGTTTTAGCACAACTTGGTACTTAAAAGTTCCGTGAGAAGTTAAAATTAATAGTTGCTGAAAATTTTTGGGGGGAGGGAGCGGGCAATCCCTCATTTCCCAGTGAATCCGCGCCTGTAAACCGGGAGATAGGATAGTGCTGCAATTTTATACTTATTGAGAAGGAGTTAATTACGACATATGCATGAGGGTTCCATGAAAGTAAGCACAGGTCGCCAATGATGCAGAGTTTTTTATGGTCCCTGATTTTACTTTCATGGCTTGATTTAGCCTCACTCCTATTTTTGGTATGTAATCGACGCATGTGTGTGTCCGCAACCAAACTTTGAAACACTGTAGGCCAATTCAGGGGCAGATTGTATACTAAGAAGTGCTTAGGCATGCAGGTATTTGACAGAAGCTCTCCATGTAGCTCCAAAGTCTCCATGAGTTGCTATTTTAATTACTTAAATTTGTTCAAAGAATTGGTTGCCCCGATCGGGACTCAAACCTAGGCCTCCTGGTTCACGTCCAGTTGCTCTAACCACTAAGCTACCGAGACAATCAGACCTTTGAACAGTTTTCATGGGCGCGATTATCAATCCTTGTATGTATATACATGTATATAATCGTCACAATTCCCTTCACCTTGTTGAACGCAATTACGTTCGGAACTCGCTCGCTCGCCAGAACGCTCGCTTTTGAACAAATTTAATTATTAAAATGCATTGTTACTCAGTACTCAGATTTTGTATTTCTTTACGACTGTGGAATATATTCTCCGAGCGTTATTGCGTCCAACAAGGTGATGGGAATGGCGACGATTATATATACATTTTAATTACATAAATTCCGTCCTGCCAAGTGAAATCCCTATATATTTGGGCACAATGACGTATTGAAATTTGAGTGAGGAAGTCGGCGAAAGATCATAAATGTACAAATATTAAATAACAAGGAGTTAACACTGATCCTTATGGAACTCAAAGCCTAAAAGTTTGGAGACGTGTTGCATCGATTAAGACGAACAAAACTCCCCTCTATTGGATATGCGGAGTTGAAATTGTGGAGTTTGCTTTTCTTCGTTCCGTAGGAACTGATCTAGTGTTCATAAGACAATTGATAATCTCAACTGTTTTTCTGCATTTCAAAACGTGTAGGAGTTTGAACAGAAAGTCATTCCTTTCTTGTAGCTAGGCTGTTAATGAGGGTAACGCCAGGTATTCATTTTCTTTGGAAGCCTGATTCAATGAATGTGATAAAAGTTAGGATTTGGACCGTGCAAGACCGCTGTGTTCTAATAGGTACCAGTTAGTTCCACTAGAAGTTGTACAATATTAGACAATCTTCAATAGCCCAGAATATTTTCGAGCAGAATAACATGGAGATTGAGGCGAGATAAAGTGTTAGCTCAATGGTTTGTAGTATTTTGGCTCTACATAGCTGTGGTAGTTCGGCCTAGACGACTTGCCCAGTTATCGTTGTTTTAATACCACGAAAATGTTTTTCACTCATCTAAATGCGCACTGCGCATTACTCACTGATATTGATGAAGACGACATAAGATAAATAATTATGTAAAACTGTATTAAAAATGTAGAAAAAAATTGTCACAACTTTGCATCCTTTGATTTCTTAGTCAGGTATCAGGGTTCTTCGTAAAATACTGTGTGCATATACACGTGTGTGTATATGATGTGTGTGTGTATATACAAGTGTATAGCCTACAAACCATATACTCTATACTCTCTGCTACAAACATCGTAAAGCACCACAGCGTATACCGAGCATCTACGCATGCGCAGTTCAAGTGGCGAGCGCAAGCGTATAGGCTCTAAAGTGGTATACACGGTATGTACACGGTATTCGGTTCGATTCCCATACTTTTTGACCAACGCCATTCCATCATAGAGTAGATTGTATTTCTCCTCTATGGATTCCATGGTGGAAACACCCCTTGGGTTCCTGTTCCTGACTATCGTTCTTCGATTCGAACTCTTGGCTTCCTAAGTCGATTCATGAACGAGAGCAGATTATGGTTAAGATACGAAATTAATTTCAGTGCTATTTTTGACATTGAAGAATGACGGTTTAATTAACTTTACAATGATAAATATTAACGGTATATTTTTACTACTTTATCAGGCGCTATCTGCAGAGAGCCTGCCTCTGAGTCTGTGATTTCGATAGTGAACACGACTTAATTCGACTTCGATGGTTCGAGAGTGCACGGCGGCGCTCGGTGCTCGTGGAGTTGGATGGTTGTCGTGTGTGACATGGCTGCTATAAAATTAGAAGTGGAGGTAAATGCCTTGATGTTGCCATCATTTAAAAAAAATAATACGTTCCACTAACGTAGTAACGTTTCATTCAAGTGCTTTCCTTAATAGTTGTTTATGAAGATCTTTACCTCTGCATTATGTGATTATGCGGTCAATGAGGAACGTGGTCTCCCTACGTTAAGTCTGGTTTCAGCAGCAGATTGTGTGAAGTTGTGTATTTTTTTTTCTAGCAGGAGGTGGATAAAAAGGATGAAAATCTTAATGATGATTTGACGATGGGTTTAAGTGTAAAGCATCCCTTACAGAATACTTGGACATTGTGGTATTTTGAAAATGATAGAAACAAGAGTTGGGAAGAAAATCAGAGGAAAATAACGAGCTTCAGATACGCTGAGGATTTCTGGAGGTACTGTAAAATTCAAATTTAAAATTAAATTTGATGGTTCATTTTCAATTTTGTCCAAAAATAAAATTTCCTAAAACAATTTTGCAGTTTGTATAATCACATAAAACCAGCAAGTGACTTGAGGCAAGGTAGTGATTACTCACTTTTCAAAAATGATATTTGTCCGATGTGGGAAGATGCTGCAAACAAGAATGGAGGCCGTTGGTTAATCAATTTAGAAAAGAAACAAAGAGGAAATGAACTGGATAAATATTGGCTTGAAATGGTATGTTAATATGTGAATATATATAAGAAGCTTATGTTCTTATACTTTGTAATGCTTTTATCATGTCTAAAAACATATTTGTTTCTGATGTATTGTGAATTGCTCATGTATAGCTCCTATGTTTAATTGGAGAGGCTTTTGATGAGCATAGTGAAGAGGTATGTGGTGCAGTCGTTAATATTCGGGCAAAAGGTGACAAACTGGCTCTGTGGACTGGAAATGCGCAAAACAGCCAAAGTGTCATAGAAATAGGGTAAGTGATGGAAATGTTTTGAGTTATGGAATGCAAATACCAATTCTCATTAATCTGTTCCTTTCCAGCCGGAAACTTAAAGAGAGATTAAAGATAGGAAGGAATGTGACCATTGGTTACCAGATCCATAAAGATACAATGGTGAAATCGGGGTCTGTTACAAAGAATACCTACACTGTATAACAGCCTTTTTGATATAGATATGTGAAATACTTCTGTTGTAAGACTGTGAGTGGTGTAAAGGCATAACATGTGCAAATATTTTTTCGGAACCTTTTGTATTTGTTTATTGTTCACAAGCTCAAAATGTCATTATCTTACAGTGAGGCAGGAGTGAATTGATATTTGTTATGAGGTGTTCTGCATGGGTCAAATTAGTGGTGGGTTTGTAAAAGGGGGCCCAGCTTATTAAAGTTGTAGGATCAATGCAAAAATCTGCAGTTTATTTGAATGTACTAATGGTTAGAGAAATACATTTTGTTAAGTATAATATAATGTACTAATTATTCCTCTTTAAATAACATGTAATAACTTGTCTTCAAAGAATTGGTATCTTCTTTTTGTTTCCCGAGTACAAATCCACTACATAGGTGATAAGCTTGTAAGGTGTATTGCGGGTTTTGTACTACAATATTTTCATTCTTTTTTCTTGCAGTCTGCCCAATATTTAATTTTTATATATTTAATTATGTTAAGTATCATAGTGGGCATATATTGTGACTGAATAGCCTATAGGCTGAAGATAGCTAGTAAAGATTTTCATGCTTCTCTGAAATTTATTGTTGTGTTAATCAGAGGTAACTTTGTTCTGTATTTCTATTTATTCTGATATACCTACAGTTGTGTATTGTGTACAGTGTGTGAATTGAATGAAATAAAATATGCTGTAATTTACTCACTGACAGTCTTGTCTTATTTCTCAAGAAGTAAATAATATTTCTTCCAGTATTATATTAAACACATTGATAATAATAGAAAATTAGAATTTACTTAAGTATAAATAATGTAAAATCCTTCCTAAAACTACAACTCTGAGAGTGCTATATCAGGAAGGAATGTAGATACACATTAAACAAAACCAAGATGAAATAAGACTGGTGGAAATAGCCAATTTGCAATTCTAGGAACTTGTGACACTCCTTTTTGTTAAAGTTAATAGTAAAACTAGTAGTATCAATGTTGTGTTCAGAAAGGTGCACATTTCAATTGCTGTTGCAATCTTGCTTCAGAAGCTCCTATATTAACACATCTCTTCATAATTATTAATGACTCCTGTACAACCAAAAGCAGTACTGCCATCACTACAGTTTGTTACATACCCCACACTCCTCCCCCCAATTCAACAATGCAATGACAGTTCTGTTGATTTTCTATTGAGTTACACATGGGATCTGTGAAACATGAGCAAGCACATGGGTGGTGGAGATAACTTGTGCTTCACAAACACCAGCTCTACCTTAATTTCAACAATGCTTGGCAGAAGGGTAAGTTTGGCAACTTGTGGTGGATGGTCCAAGTCATAGAAGCACTGTAGCATTACATTGCTATGTGAGATTATTCCAGTAACGTTTTGCATTGCTTAGTTTTATCTACACATTTCCCAAATATAATTTTTTTTTTTGCAATTGCATATCATTTTACCTCACTACTAACCATTCCCAAAATTGTAATCTCAGCAAATCATCTCACTCCTAACACAATATCCAAATTTTTCGTTACATATTTTATACTATTTTACATGTTTTGCTTTTTTAACAAAATTTTCATTCTATCAAGTTACTTCAATTTTTTGTGAAAAGTTTTTTTAAATATGCATTCTTTATTGGAGAAATGTAGGTGTGAAAAGATCAACACTGTTTCATGAACTTCAACATTAATTTTTGAGAAACTTTGGCTATTGCTGACATGTAATGTGAAATGAGTATGTTGCACGCTGCATGGATTGTTTGTTGGTCCTTGATATCGCAGGTTCATATGATTGGCTTCTGTGTGTTATTTGGGGCAAGGTGCATATAACCTTGCTTCTATGAACCTTGGTCTGGGTCCAATACAAACCTTTTAAAAATCATGTGGAGAGCACAATTTGATGCACACTTTGCACCTTGACCAGGACTACAGTCCTGGATAAAAACATACTAAGCTTTTACTACTGACAGGAAAGTTGTATGGTGCAAAGTGTGCATCAAATTGTGCTCTCCAAATGATTTTTAAAAGGTTTGTATTGGAACAATTTCATTTTCTTATAATTAGAGTATTTTAATATTACATATATTTTACATATTCTGAGTTTCCATAACATACTTTGATGTTTTATGCTACATATTTTTCCGATCTTGATCAGCGTGCATAAGCTGTAAACTAAAGCTCCAACAGCACATTCTTTTTCACAATTTCTAAATTTACAATATTCAAAAATTTAAGAGTTCAACGAAAATGGAACCTGTCTATTTTATTCCAAGTATTTTGAATAGTTTTTGAGGAAGAAAATTTAACATTTTTTTAAAACATTGTGTATACTTATTGTGAAATGACACAACCCATTTATGTACCTAGGAACTGCCAAGGTACATCAATCTGCAATCATGAATGAACATGGCTACAGTTAATTGTATATAAAATCATGGATTTTAATCATTCACTTGAATAATTACAAATGGCAATAGAAACGTTGGCAAAATAACAATTCAAAATTTCTTTCACACTTTTTGAAAACACGCTTTGCCCCTAGGTATAACAATCCTTGCATTTGGAAAAGATTTCTCCAATTTTTCATTGCGAGGGTCTGGCAATAAGTAATTTGCTATAGAAAATTCACTTTTTTCCCCAGCAGTATAACAATACATTCTCTATATTACTGTGTAAACAGCAGAAAAGTTGCATATAGAAAAAACACCTTTAAATGCCCCTGCCCCCACTCTTTAGGATTTTTAGTATAATGTGCAGTGGGTACAAACAAATAATCATGCCAAATTTCAAAACTCTAGGATTTTTTCCCAGAGATTACCAGTTTAGTGTCTAAGTTGACTTGGCTATAAGAAAATGTAAGAAACACTACACAACGTCTCCTTTAGGGGATGAGGGGTACAAAGAGGTTAACTTTCCTGCCGCTGTGAAGCCTCGTAGATACTTCAATCATAAAAGATCAATGATCCAAATGGGAACATTTAAAAAAATTAGTGTGAATTTTCACAACAAAATTAAATTCATTTCCCATTATTGAAAAATTAGAAGGTGAAATGTGAAGGAAAACAAAACAAAAACAAACCCTTCGCAAAAACGATTCGCTAATGAATTCGGCCTTTAAGAGGTTAAAGAATTTCTTTCCAAGACAAGTAGACAAACCCTATCAATCCCCAAAGAACTGATCAATAACTCACACATTTCGGAATGTTATCAAGAATGTGATTTGTTAAAGCACATTAAGAAATTATACATAAAAGCACTTTAGTTGCTTGCAACATGTTACCAATCCATCCTATCTAATTCATGTATTTTAACATTTTTGAATACAGTAAATTAATAGTAACACAGTTTATACGACTAAAGAATTTAGAAGAGTAAATAATGATTTTATACAGATGGAAGTTGAGAAATTAAAGAATAACAAATTTAATTTACATATTACACTTATGGACAAGTTTACAGTTTATTACATGTTTTTTTCCCCTTTCATTAAGTAAATAAATAATACAGAATAATAAGAAATTAAAATTCAGTCCATGTTAGCAAAGTATTCTTCAACTCTGTCCTGAAGATCTTTACGGCGAGCTTTTCCCAAAGCTTGCAGAAGATCTCGATGCATCTTTTGTTTATTAATACTTCTAGATTGAAAAAGCACCAGGGACTGAAACATTGTAATTCATAGTTTATAAAATGTCAATACAAATTCTTAAAAACATGTCATATAACCACATGAATAAAAAAGCATGGCACAAACAATACCTCATAAGCACATGACTTGAAATTGTTGTGACAATTGTTTTCGATAATGTTTAAATCCCCTTCTCTAAGACATAACTTTCTGGCAAACTCTCGCCATTTAATTCCAATTTCACAGCTGACTAACTCCAAAACTGAAACAAGTAAAAACATTTAAAACCAGCCTTAATCTCATGTTCATAGGCGTAACAATCATTAATATTTAGCAGTACTTTCCATGAAGTCCCTGGGTCATTTTCCAAATAGTCTCAAAAATTGCTCCAAATTTTTTCTTTAAATTTCTTGTAGAGTATATTACGCTTATAAAGGTGGCATAGGTCCGATTTTCACATTTATCTCTTAATTTTCAAAAATTGCAAAAGTTTGAATCTTTTTCAGCATCTACCCACAAAAAAATTGAAGATGGAGATCTTTCCTTCAAATACAATTTATTCTCCATGGTGAGTTCTTTCATTAAGGTCATGCACTTTTCTTTGAATATTTCAGTGGTTTTTGCACAACTTTAATAAATTACAAAAAAAAAGTTTTTTTCAAAAACTGTTCAAAATTTTTTCTTTAAACTTATGTTAGGGAGAGTGCTAAATGCACTCTATAAGTTCACAAACTCCAAATTACTCTATGCTTTTGTTTTTTCAAATATTACAATTTAATTTTTTGTCTTGTCTCTTACGTCGTTAATATTTATATTAGCAATTTACTCATCTCATTATAATTACGAGTTCATGTGCTTTAAATAATGTCACATAAAGTTTCTCGAAAACTGTAAAAAAGTTCAAAAATCACACATTTTGAGAGTTGCTCAAATTTTTTTCTTCCAACTTTTTGAACGGATAGGGACAGTTGCACTTATTAGTGTGACGTAAAGTTCATTTCAGGGTATTTTTTTTTTCAAAGATCTCTCACGTCGTTAATATTCATGTCTTCAGGAATTTGTAAATACATTTGGGCGTTAATGTGCTTCAAATGACTTTTGTATGAAGTTTTTTTTCAAAAACTCAGAAATTTCTCTGAAAAGGAGCTCCAAATTTTGAATTTACAGTAGAGCTTAAGCACCATTTTCTTAAAAACAGCTCCAAATTTTTCTAAGAAAATTGTAATTTAGGACGAGGTTTTACTGTTCTTTACTATTCTTAAAATAATATTTCAGTTCTACTATTCAAAAATCTAAAAATGAAGAAAACTTCTAAAAAATGTACAAATGAAGTCGTAGGTTTCCGCGGCCAGAGTCATGTGGGTGATCTGGGCTGTCAGCGTGACACCGCGTCGAAGGCTGTGTTGCAGGTGAGGCAACACAGCCTTCTACGCGGCATCACCCGGACAGCCCAGATCACCTTCAAAAAAATGCACTTTGGGTGGTGATAGATGGGGAGCTAATAAAAGAGTATGTGGCAAGTTTGTATAGCTAGCCGAGACCAAAGAAAACAGAAAACTAATACAGGAAACTCTGTGCCATTCTGTAGCTACACAATTTTTTTGATAAAATGGCCAGTTTCTGGAACTCGGGACTCTTGAGAGAATTCAAGGAAATTAGAGACAATTATAAAAATAGATAATGTTTTTTAAATAATATTGTTTTTCGGCTCAATTACCATTTGTTAAGTTCAATATTATTATTTTTGTCCTTTTTCAGCAAAATTAGAAAGCTGACACATTAGTAACAGGTACCCGTGTAACTCAACCAATCCATCATGAGGTACCTTTGGTAGGGTGAAAAAATGCATCTAAGTCAATCCAAGTAATTGGCTCTATATCACATCAACTGAGGAAAGATATATTACAGTTTGAGAATCTAGATATTTATTGAATTCAAACCTTGGGATGCAATTTACATTTTCTTGTAATCGTTTTAAAATAAATTTCAAAAATTTAGAAAATCAAAAGGCTAGAATAAAACAACTTTACTAAAACAAATGTAATAAAGCAGTAAAGATTTTGGATTCTGTTAATAATTTTTTATTTATTGAGGTTTAGGGGCTCCTTTATTTCCTTTATGTTGCCCATAAATGATGATTAAACGGTCTAACAAGTAATTGAAAGCAAAAATGGTGATGAGGGATGAAGAAGAGGCGCAGGAAACAGGAATACCCCCAAAAAATTACTGAGAGTTTTTTTCGTGCTCTTTGTCTACCACCCTTAAATTGGCCAGGCCCCTGTATACACTAGCTGCTATGCCATGGGCAATCTCACATGTTCAGACTATATATAACAAACAAATGGAGGGAGAACCCATAAAACTGCTGTTTTTCAATCTTACAGCAGTGCAATTGTAATAATTGCAGATGAGGCAAATCAAGAGTTTCAACATGTGCTTATGCAGACAACACACTTTGAGAACATGCAGAGCTTTGGATTTCCTTGCAAAATGTATCAAGGAATACTACAGTAAAACTTGTCTAAGCTGGAATCATTTGGGTTCAACATTTTCTTCCATCTTGGACAGGTTTCCAGCTTATTCAGATTTGCAATAAAGACAGTCAAAAAATTCAGGAAACACAATCATTCAAAGATGGAATAGGTGGTATGAGTAGTTTATCTCACTTAAAAACTAAATTTCAAAGAAACTAGGACATACAGAGAGAGACAGACAATGACATACAGAAATGCAACAAAGTCTATTGAAACAAAGAACTGCATAAAAAGTAAAAGCAATATTATTTTCTTCAATATTTGTAGGAACATTAATTCATCTGATGATTTAGGCTATGGCTATTCGCCTCATGAATATCGTGGTAACCACCAGTAAACATTTTCTTTTAACCACTCATTCTTAATTTTGAACAAAATCCAATCCTTTTCATATATCTTTTTATCGTTGTTTTTCCTAACGCTGTTTCTGTGTTTCACTTTCCCCACATTTACTCATTTAATTTTTAAACAAAATATTAAGTTTTATTAGTGGTAAAGTTCTTTTTATTTTTACATACATATCGTAGTAGACAACTATATTCCATTTTGGAAAAATGTTTGGTAAAAGTAAAAAAAAAAGTGTTTTGTGAGAAGGGACAAATATGTCCCAGTGCCCTGTGGTCCATAGGGATAACTTAGTATGTCACAATTACAATGTGAACAAGATTGTACATGTTTTCCAGATGAACGTAATTCTATCAAACAATACCAGACATGCAGAGATTCCACTGTCTGGTTATAATTTTCAGTTCTGGTAGTTGCAAGCAAGTTCTTACTTGACTATTGCTGACTTGAAAAACAAAGAGCAACCTTTTTCACATAAATGAAAACGAAATATTACTGTTTTTATTGGCAGAAGAGAAGAACTATTCTGGAGGAGGATGTATAAATGATCACCCAAAAGTATGTGCCATTGATTCTCTGGGTCATGAAGGGACCTCAAATGCAGATAATTGAAAACAAAAAAGTTCCAAGACCAAGAGCACAATAGAAACGAATATCCTGTGGGGCAGAATATATTCAACTGAAGTTGCAGAAAGTTCTTATAAATCATTCAGTAAAATAAAAGTTTTGTTTGAGACAGATCCTGAATCGTGCAAGTATTTGAGAAAATTCGTTCTTCTGCGGAATTCGTTGAACTTATTGTATCTGAAAGTAATTCGTATAAAACAAAAAAGATAATACATTTTGAGACTAATATTTCTGAAATGAAAGCTTTGCTTGGTATTCATTTGGTAATAAGCTACCATGTGCTTCCTTCCCTTGGTGATTATTGGTCAGCCAGATCTCCCAGTTCAGTTTATTTAGCAAATCAGGCCTAGATTGAGATTTAAACAAAAACCTTTAGCAATATTCTTTTAAGGAAAATGCAGTACCTAGATCATCAGCTGACTATGACAGCTTACAAAATAAGACTGATAAAGGATCATGTCAACAAATATTTCCAAGCGACTCGAAAAACAACCAAACACCAATCCATAGGTGTTATTTCATACACGTCAAAATTAAAAAGAATTTCTCCACAATGATTAATTTTATTAATGAAAGATACAGCAAAATACAATAAAAGCATAAAATGAAAATTTCAATATCATTGTCTGAACTTATAAAATCAATCTTGTTTGCTTCAATTTTGCTTTAGAATTTCTCCAGATCCTTTCCCAGGGTTTGTGCTATCTCCATACTCTATTCTACATTGCCCAGTGTCTGTAAGAATCATAATAAAGTCTTGACACTCTTCAATGCCACTTCTGGGACATGGTTCCAATCTCTGAAAGCCTTTTTACTTGCCATACAAGATCCTTCTAGTAGCAATGTGTTGCAAGCAGCTATCGCATTTCTGTGCAATGCAATGGGTGTTTCTAGGCTGTGTGGCTGTAGCAGTCATGGGCTTCCTGTGGCATACGTAGAACAAGATGCACTTTGTCCTGTGTTAAACTTTTCAAGTTCAATGTTTCAACTGAAGCAAACAATCATGCGTCATCACCGTCAGTTGCAGCCCAGGCAGGATATGGTGTTTCTTTCTGCAGTGAAACCGAGTGACATGGTTGTCAGTAAGATCCCTATTCCAGATCCACTACCTCCACTTCAGGGGAGACTTCTTTGATTATGACCTTCCGCCAACAATACTTTTTCCAAGCTGCCTAGTGTTGGCATTTGTGGCACTGATGCGGTATACTACTTTTTTTCAGGAAGGAAGTAATTTCCAAGACACCACATTTCCTACAGCCACTATAGCCAAGGTACAAAGTTCACTATAACAATCTTCTTGTGCTCATTTGTAATGTATGTGAAACGGGAGCAGTGACTAAAGTTCACTACAACAGAATTCACTATATCTGGACCCGACTGTATTTGTCACCAATAGATAAAACAAACGTTGAGAGGAGAAAATATAAGAGCAAAAGAGGAATACAAAGTGAATAGTACACATAGTACAGATTTTCAACAAGTTCAAAAGAGATGTGGATCTCGTGGATAAAACAAGGTGATATGGAGTTGAAAATCAAAAATTAAGCCTAACTACAACTAAACTAAACTAAACTAACCACAACAGCTGGGAAAAAATTGATGAAAGATGTGCTAAATGTTCAAGAAAAAAGAAAGAAAATAGAACAAATATATGCAATGTTGGCAAGGTTCATTTGTATTTCACTCAAAATTGTAACTGCTGCTTGGAGTTTCATTCAAAATAATGTTTTTGGAATTTCTTTCAAAACTTACTTTTAGAATTTCATTCAATATGATGTTTTTTCATAGTAACTGTATTTGAATAGTTTTCATTAAAAATTAAAACTTTTTTCTTCTGAAAAACTTCCTTTGTGGTACACAGGAACATACGTCGCAAGCTAAATTTTATAAATAGTAAATACAATGACATCAAAAACAATTCTGAATGAATTTCTAAAGCATTTGAAGTTGTTAATTTGAAAATTATAAATTTTCTAAAAGGAACCTATGTGGTCCTAAAAGGGTTAACACAGCACAAACTACAAACATTTCTGCAAAACGGGCAATTAACAATATTCAATATATTTCAACACTAGAACTATACTTGGAATAATTTAGAGTTGCCCCTGACATAAATCAGCTGTTTCAGTGTCATCCAATTGGAAGGTTGAACGTCACCGTAGTGAGTGTGATCTCCCTATTGGATGATGACACTGAAACACTGAACAGTTGATTTACGTCAGAAGTAGCTCTAAATAAATCAAAATATGGACTGATATTAAAATCTTAGAAGCAAATATATTTGGGGATATAGCATAGAAATCAATTCTCCACATCTTCCAGTAAGTATCATCACTAACATTATGAATGTAAAGACCCTTATTTGAAGAGTCCTCGGAGTGGCCACAACTACCAGACCTGGCAGAGCTATCTGTTCTGCTACAGAATTTAAGATTGCTCTTTTTACCATTCAGAGATTTACAGAAAACAACAAAAAACAGAAGTGATTGATCAGAATTCTTCTCAAAAGGTTCAATGATTGACACCTCATCTGACACCTGATATCAAGATGAGCATTAACGATACCATGTTGATTCATGAACAAAGGATGTTTATAACTGAATACATAAAATAATACACACACACACACGAACAAAAATGTAATGTATTATTCTCTCCTGTTGCTTTCATAAAGTAAACTGCTATCACTATAAAATTTGGCAAACTTCCGTTTTCAATTCCACATTAATAATATGTTTCTGGAACAGTTGAACCCTTTTGAAAAGATTTTAATTGCAAGAAAGTTACTAAGAACATAAATATCATTTCCAAATGAAAAAGTGATTGCAAATTAAGAGTGCACAAAACTTCTTACCATAAGCTGGCAATGCATTATTATTTGAACTGGTATCCTGTGTAGATGAATGAGGTGGTGTGTTCCGTGGACCTGTTGATCATTGGCAAACAGTAAGTTATTTAATTTATTTAATCTAAAATATGTTTAGAATATATATCTTTGGTTTATTGCAAGAAGGACTAAAGTCAGTTTTTAGTGATTTTCAATTTGTACAGCCAATGATTGCTGTTAAGTCCTTTCTTTCAGTGCAAGAAAAGCCAAAGCCCAAGTCAAAAGTCTTACCTCTTGATTTCACTTTGATATTTACATTGCCCTATGATTAGCTTGTCATTTCAATGGTGTAAGAAAGCCACCCATTTTATGAAACTTCGAATATTTAAATTGGCCCTTCTTACATCAAGCCATGCATTATTTATTATAGAAGTTCTAGTTTGCTACTTCATTTGCAAATGTGTATTCGTCTTTTTCACTATCTAGAAATATGTTCCATCAGACATTGTAATAATCTCAGCTGGCATTTCATGGAAATGTGCCATTGCTGTTTGCAACTAAAAATGATGCAAGTATTTTATGAGATGTAATAGTTTTCTACCAGGCACCAATTCTGAATATAAAATGCACATTTAATTACCTGGTTGGTTAATATTTAAACATACATGCAAAAGTTTCTCAAACAATTTGCCCCCTTCACACAATCTGGCTTCCTTTAGTGTACCAACACTGACACAAGATTAACCCAACTTCCTTTCACAATAATCTTACCATTATTATTAGGATAATCTCCTGGATCTACAGTCCTTCGATTACTAAGACGCGCTAACATTTTGTTTCTTCCTTCTGCTGGCAATCGATTCACAATGTTTCGTAATTCTGAATAGTTGTCAGAAGACACATGATCTCTCTTTTCTAACACTAAAATTAAGTCATTGATACCTTTGATAAAACTACAGCGACGATTTGACTCAATGATACCCGCATATTCCCCAACCAGTTCCCTTACGTCTTTATCTGAAAAACAACTCGTTTGATTGAGCAAATCGCGCTTAAATGAGTAGTAATCATCTACCATTTTGATCTTTTCTACGAAATATATTGTACATACATTGCACAAAGATAATTTTAATACATAAATTAACGAATAATATTTACTGCGTCATTTTAAAACATAAAATAATATCATAATTAGAGTTACAAATATTCGTTACACCAGGAAACGCGGGGAAAAACATCCCAGTCCGTCTCACTTCAAGGGAACATCTGGATCGCGTTAGACCTCTTAATATTTTGGTGTTATTGTGACGCGATCCAACGAATCAGATACCAACACCAACTGACAAGCTGTCACCTCCTGTGTATAACTAAATAATATATACACAGTCTAAGATTTCATAAATTACACCACAATTAATAGAAGCCAATCTTCTCTCTATATTTTAATATCTATTAACACATAAATCGAGAGAAATGTGGAGAATAGTGAGCCCAGCTACGGCTGACACAACTGACCACACTGTTCCTGCACTCTTCGGTGCACACTGCACAGTGAACCAGAGAGTATATGACAGTGAACAGACAGTGCCGAGCAGAGAGTATATTGCTGAGCTCTAATATACTCTCTCTCTCTGGTATATACTCTTTGCTGGTGCCGAGATAGTGGTTCAGTGAACAGGCAAGGAAACAACTTTCAAGAAAAATGTAAGTGTTGTATACTCTGATTAAAATATTCTGCGGAACATTTGTATATTCCGATTAAAATATTCTGCGAATTGACCTCTTATCAATTGGGACAAGGTTATCTAAAGGAGAACTTCAATACAAAAAATGAAGTTGTAACAAAGCTCTCGATTGGATAACTACATGCCAGCTGATATCCGTTAAATCGCCATATATTTTAAAGTGGAGTACACCAGATGCTCCTTTGGCACGGAATAACCTAAGAACTTGCGACTAAAAACAAGAGAAGTATCGGACGCGTCGGAGCATCAGACGGCGCGGGTGTCGGGGAAGCGGCAAACAGCGGCAATTTGTTGCGTGTTTGTTGGAACTTGGAGCGCGTTGCAAGCAAGTTCCGATGCCACGAAGGATTAGCGAGCTCGTCACATTGAAAGGAATATCCGAGGTCGAACATTTAATAGCTACCACAGCACCTGTTAGACTTATAAGCGACTTGTAAGTGAAATTGTTTGGTGTGCTTGGTGTCCGACAATATTGAAAGCTCACCCAGCAACCTATTTCGCTGTGCCAATAGGAATGACAGATGTGTTTGGTGCGACACCTGAAGATCTTCAAAAGAAAGTTTATTTTCTTTTAGAGCAATTACAGTCAATGGCCAGAGAACTGCCTCCGTAAGAATTAATGTAGTTTTGTTGTTTAAGTGATACTCGTTAACATTTCAGATCTTTCTGAAGACATTATTGCTCTCTTGTGTTCTTTCAGAAAATACCAGCAACGAATACCTTGTGAACTTCTGTCTGGTTTGGCAAATTGTTTGTTGAATGATACAGTATTTGAAATAGTTAAAGGATTGATGGAAATACAACATGTAACAGAAAAACATCTATTTCAACAAAGATTACAAATTATAAATCGCCAGAAGAGTAAGTTATTTTCTGTTTGATGGTATGAAACCTCAAACTATGTGAAAACAGAAACAGCAAATTTGTAAGTGGATTATCTAGTGTGATATTCTATTTTTTAGTGGAAATGCAAGATGTTTTTCATCATACAACTGAAGAAGACATTCGTAAAAAACAACATGCTTTACTGCAATTAAAACACACTGAAGAGCTTAAACAAACTGATATGAAATTGGTGCTTCAGTTGGATCAGAAGGTATAGCTCATCTCAGAAAACTAGGTGAAGTTCACCTAGTTTTCTTCTTAATAGCCCTAGGATTTTTTTCCTTCTTTCTTCAAATTTTGCCATAAGGAAACTTATGGCATTTCTGTCAGATTTTATTATATTCCAAAATATTGTTATGGGACCTTGTAATATTCATATACAGTTTTAAACATCTAATGGTGATATCCTCTGTTCTTCTCTGATGCAAAGTACTTGTGATTATTAAATAGTAGTAGCTGTAATGTTCAAGCACAATAACTTTTGGTTCTTCATTGTAGTTGAGCTTGCAGTTTTCTTCCTTCACATATTGTCTTCATTTTCTTCCTTTTTGTTTTGTCACAAACAATATTTCTTTGCAGAAGAAGAGAACATTCCAGAATATTGCACATACTTTGAATTTCTTCTCATGTATGTGTTGTATTCACAGTGGGCAGGGGGACTTTTTCACTTCTTGATCTATACTTTGAAATTCAGCCAGTTGTTTTTTAATGTGTTTTACATGCTTGAGTCAGAGACCATACAGATATTCTAAGATAGTCTGTGACTATGGATCTTTTATCTTCCACTTACATGAAGTGGCTTACATAGTGGCGTGAAGAGAAATGTACCTAGTCAATGTCTTGGATCTAGAGTACTTAATGTTAGGTGAATGGGAATTGACAATTTATGATTGAGAGTGAATTTTTTCTCTCTTGCAGCCTTCTCTCTTATAATCAAATATGGTTCAATATTTATCAATTCTGAGTAAAGTGATCAAATCATTTTTGCTATTCCAGTTGCATGGATGTCGGTTGTACCCTTCATTTCTTTGTGATGTGCAGTTTTTCATGAACAAGAGAAGGGATGAAGAATATTGCTCTGCTTCAGCTCAACCTTCTTTAAGTTGTAGTGTTCTAAAATTCAGCCAAAAGCAGTCTTGTAATTGTAGTCTTAGGAAAATATTTGAGATTTTTTAGATGCTATACTTATGTTCCATTGTTTAAAGTTACTTTTTGTGTTGTAGAATTACCAGAGTTCCATTTGCTTAAAAGTTATTAATATATTATTCAACCTGTCATAATGAAACATTGATTTTTCCTCTTTTGAGTTCTGTATGCTATTTAAATCTTATTCAGCCCCTGTGTGCATTAAACATTCTATTTACTAGTTTAAATAATGAATCCATAGGAAGTTTGTTGAAGTACAACGTTTAATATTTATAATGCTTTACTTTTCTGATTTCTTAAAATAAAATAAGTATGAAAATAAAAGACTGTTGTAAGACATTGTTATTGTTACTTGTCAAGACAATGAAATTGCTGGTGAGAAAATGTGATAATTCTCTGCTTATAATTTCCTAAATAAAACAAAGTCACATTTGAAACTTGCTGATAAATGGGCCTAGATTTGTATGCTTGTGCATATTTTTTTGTGCTAATTGTTGCAGCTTGAAAAATCATCCAGTTTCATTATGAACAAGTCTGTCATTACTAGTTTCCAATCAGGAGATTGATTTTATTTAATGTCTAAACAGTTTGCAGTGGATTTAGACATGACGGATATAAAGTTGAGATAAAAGGATCAGTTAATGGGTTAAACCATTCAAAGAAAACTACTTTTTTGTTAACTCACAGAAAAATAGTATTTTTATAATGCTTGTGGGGTGCATGTTTAGTCTGAAAGGATGTCAAAGTTTCCCAGCATGGTCTAAGAATTTGTATCAGATGTCAATGCTAAATTTAGATATACTTGTTTTTTCATCCATTTAGAGAAAATTTGCCACAAGTGTCAATTTCCTTCTTCTTGCTCTGTATCCTCAAAATGTGATAAAAAACTCACCTCTTCTATTAATATTCAACATTTTACTTCAGATATTATTAGGACATGATTAAAAAATTAAACAGCATTCAGTTTTTTGTTCTGATATTGAAAGTGAAGGCTTCTCCAGCCAGAGACTGTGACCATGAATAAGTTATATTACTTAAATTAATTTCAGTATTTGGCATAGCCAACATTTTTCATTAATATTTTCAATGTGTAATAATGACAATCCCACAACCGGCACATTTTAAAAATTTCGCATTGCTTTTTAATAAACTTTTTATTTTCTAGTAAATTTTAAACTGCATATTATGTAGCACAGTTTACATTTACTTACTTTAAACATATCTGGGTTGTGATATTAATTTGTCAGTTATTAGTTGTTTTTTTAAATGTGGAGTGCTCTAAAAGAGATTAATAGTTTCCTTAATACACAGAAGTTCCTGTACTAATTTATTAAGTTTTGTCACACTGCAAATTTTGATTTTTCTTTTCCTCTACTGCACCTATTTTGCATTTGGTGCTGTCTGGTTTGTATTGCTGTACCTATTTTTTCTGTTCAGCTGCTTAGAACAATGTACTTTATTATGATTGTGAAGCTCTTTTATTGTACACCGAAGGAGACGATCATAATAAAATATGTGAACAGAAGGGGGGGGGGGCTAGGTTTCAGACTGGAAGAATGGATATAATACTAATGATATTTCAAATCGCTACTTGCAAATTAGCTTTTTAAGCTTGATGAAATTTATTTCTTCTAATATATTTTTTCTTTGTTAAAACCTATATTGCTGGTTTGATGCACAATAAATATGTATATTCTCCACAATGTTTTATTATATCTACTCTTCTAAGTTTTCTAACAATAAATAGGCCTAGTTTGGAGTATGTGAGAAAACATTTACAGTTTATTATTTTCCCAGGTTAGTGATCAGCAAGTAGTTCTTGAAAAAGCAGGAGTTCCTGGCTTCTATGTTACCAATAATCCACTTGAAGTACAAGTACAAATGCATTTGCTGGATTTTATCCTGCGACTTAGCAAAATGCGTATGCCAGCGTGAACTATTTGAGTAGCATATTTCAATCATTGGTGATTCTAATAGTATTTAGAACATCTATAACATTTACTTAATTGCCACTTGAGAAGAATGAAATAATGTTGTGTACAAATATGACTATTTGTAGTGTTGAAATGAGTGAAAGTAAATTCTTTTCAACAAAAGGATAATTAGTAAATTTCAGTTGTCATTAATAATCTATTTAATTGTAAATTTTATACAGAAGATGGAATTCATAAAGAAACATTAAGGTAATACAAGGTATTGGCAAGGCTTATTGTACCACTGACCTCATTTCAGGTATATTGTATCCTGTTTGAAAATTTTGGGTTTGTAGATAGTTATCCAAAGGAACCTTGAAAAGATTGAAAATATATCTCCAAGTGGTTATATTATCTCTTACTCTGTTCACCAAACTCGGTACCAGAAGGCCATGAACGTAGCATGCAGTTGTTTTTTTGGGATCTCAGTTTTGACTTAAAGATCACTGTATCTGGTACTGAAGTATATCTCCCATGGAATATTATCCGCTAGTATTTTCATTAGGTGGTCAAGGTCAGTGTTATTATGTGAATTCAAATTGCAGGCTATCATAATCAATTTGTATCATTCAATTATACTTCAAAATGTTTCATGAAGTGTGTATAAAAAAGTGTCACTGTAACAAAGAAAATTATTATTCTGTTATATTATTTTCAAGCATGGTCAGTAGGAATTATGCTGGTATCTTAAATGTGGGAGAGATATTTGATGTCTAATTCTTAAAGTTGTGCAAGTATTGTGCAGATTTTTGTATCATTGAAGGATTATTTTTATCTGCCTATTTTTCAAATAAGGTAATTATTAATAATTTATAGTAGCCCTACTTTCGAAATTAATAACAAGAGTCAATATTTTTGATTTGTTTAAGAGTTTCATACACAAATGGTTGTCGTAGTTTAATCCAAAATGTGTTTTGCCGTGTTTGGATATATATAAAAAAAAAAAGGAACATGAAACCTAAATAATTTTTTTCTGCAAATATAAAATGGAGTTATTTTTTTTAAAAAAAAAGATACTATTATAGGACGAAAAAATCAACAGACTACAAGTTTTTTGTCAGGGTTATAGAAAAGCGTTTAACCAATAGTTTACAATAACTTGTACACTCCTAAAAATTAATTAAAATGAAATTAAAGAACAAATCCTAAATTTCATTGTTTCATGTTGAGGTTACAGCATGTGCGGAATTGTACACATGTGAAATCTACACACGCACACACACACACACACACACATATATAGTAAAACCTGTCTACAGGGGTGGATCCAGCTAATCATTTTGGAGGGGGCTACCGTAGAGTTGTATTAAATTAAACATTTGTTATATTGTATATTATTTTTATTTTTGTAGTGTGTATATGACACAATACAATATTATTTTTTAAATAATTACAAAAATCTAACAAATAAATAAATCAATTTTGCCAAATAAAAGATGGTAACGATAAAAAACTCTAGGTCTGGGGGGGAGGGGGTGTCACCCCCCCCCCCCCTCGAACTGCCACTGCCTCCCTAAGCCGGAATCATTAGGGTCGAACATTTTGTTCTCTTGTACAAGTTTCTGGCTTATTCAGGTATTACCATCATTAAAAGATGGAATAAGTTGTCAGAGTAGTTTATCTCGCGTAAAAACTAGATTTCCAATACAGTTGTCCTGGGAGAGACAAAGAAAACGACAAAAAGAAATGCAGCACTAAGGCTTATGACAAATAACTTCATAAAAAGGAAAATAAATATAATTTTCATCAGTATTTATTGGAACAGATAAATTCAGCTGATGTTTTAGACTTCAGCTATTCACCTAGGTGTTCGTGAATATTGTGGCAACCACCCACAAAAAAATTATTTTAGCCACTCATTCTTGATTTTGTCATTGTTTCTAAGGTGGCATACACCTAAATTTTCCCCTACTTCAAATTTCTTTATCAAGACCTTGACGGATGGGTTGCTTTGTTTGTGTTCTTCAGTTCGTCTAATTTTCTCACCAAGAGATAACGTTTTCAATTGCTGCCTGGCATCATAAACACTATACCCGCATCTCAGTGAACTGAGTAACAGTAAATGTTTAAAAGCACTGATCCCAAAGCATGCATTACAAGAACTGTAGAAGGATTGCTTTTGGCATCTCTCCATCCTTCACACGTGCTATTTCAAATAACGAGCATGAGTAGCATGGGAAACACAACATTTGGACAAGGGTAGTTGAGAAATGGAATGGATGAGTACAGCTCTTCAGTGTCTCGTGATGATTGATTGAGTTGTCACACTTACAAGTCAAGTTTAATTTTGAAAAGATTATTTGTTTTTCATCTGATCCAGAATTTTTAAAACCATCATGCTAAAAATTCTTTACTGCATTAGGCGGGTTCCAGGTATAACCAGTGTACTTCGCATTGGAAAATAATCTGCTCTGAGGTTTTTTCCAGTGAAGGCAGGTTTTCATCGTAGACAGGTTTTACTGTACATGACCAATACAGAGCAAAAACAGAATAATCTAGAACATAATTTTGGGGAACGTGTGTATTTTGTTAAGCGTTCTTTATGTTCGTAGAGAATCCAAATTATTCATTACATGTTTACACTTAAGTTAAGAAACATCTGTTATGTACTGGAAATGAATCTAATATTTTTTTCTTTTTATGTAATTGTGAATTAAGAAGAAAACTGATATTCAAAAGATAATTCATAAACTGTTTAATTAGAGTAAAATAAGGTAACAGAGGTGATCCAATATCCCATGGATTATTTATACTAAATAAAATTTGGTGCATTTTGTGCTGATCCTTGAAAAATCAAACAAAATCTTGCATACAGGTATTTAATACTGAAACCATAAAATAGATCAATTGTGGTTCTGTCTGTTCCTGTAACATTCATCTTTGTTCATCGATTTGCTATATGTTTATTGATAATTTGACAGTCTTTCAAATCTTGGTTTGTTTGGTATATTTTTGCAAGACAATTTTATTTAATGAGGAATTAGACTTAACTGGAAACATTCATTATTATGTAAACAAAATAGTGTACAATTCGAGTGATTTGAGAATAAAGGAAGCATTGTTTAAAAAAAATAATTATATTAACAATTTTAAAGGGGTGCACTGGTCATGTATTCCATAGATGAGGATAAGTCTCTCTGCACCTGCTCCCCTTCCTTCCAAGTGTTTAGTGCCAGTTGGGGGGGCTTCATTCCAAAACGTCCCTGAGATGAATTAAGTTTTATATACTATTTTGCAAGGTACATTTTATTTGAAAAGTCATTTGTAACTTGAATTTAATAATGTAATAATTATTACAAAAATAAAATTTCTAATTCAGTGATATTTAATTTAATACAAAGATATATTTTGAGAATGCTTGTTTTTCTAAGGAACCTCCTTGCAGCTACCCCCTCCCTCTTAAAGCACACATATTTATTCAATGTCCAACGTATCCACAGAAAACGTGTATAATTAGTAATTAACTTCTACTTGTGGAAATATTTTTTATGAATTTACTAAAGCAAAGACTGTGGGAGGATTTGGCAAGTCAAAAACAAACAGTTGATGAAAATTTTATCATTGAATTGGTTGATTAAGTTTACATCACTCCTAGATCTGCATAGTAAATTACCAAGATAACACTTCGCATCAAAAATATTAACTCAAAAAGAAATGGAAAACAGAAAAATAAGAATTGGAAAGATTTGTATACAAGCACCTGTTCATGGCAGGTTCGTTAAGTCCTGCGTGAATGTTTGAGAATGAAAGGTTTTGCCTGTTTCACTGTGCATCATTTTCGTGAGACAAGAACAATAAATGACCCAGTTATGAGATTGTTATGAGACTGTAACTATTGAAATCCAGACCATTATTGCCTGGCATTTCCATGCAGATTCAACAGAGAGGCATTGTTTTAATCCCCTTCCATGCCCTCTTATTTACAAGTAGGGGTATTATTGCAATTGCAATGTGTTAAGAAAGAATTTTGGTAAATATGAATTAACAGTATCAACATGAATTCACCATTTCAATGTCATTCCTGTTAGAATTAGTGTTTGGCATGATAAGGCTCGGCGATGGCCTTAGCCGGCGGCGCGGGGCATTGAGAGTTAGTGTGACAAATAGGATATACAAAGTTGGGGGAGGGGGGGAAGTTACGGAAATTTTTTCTAATTGCACAGAATTGGCTCGAGGTGATGACAACAATTGAAATGAAATTTTTACTTTCCCGCTTGTACTTTGTAGGAAGTGAAAGTATTGTGCGCCTAAAAATGGCGTATATTTTGATTTTGGGGGGTACTTTACGTGAATCCTGAAAATACAAAATTTATCAAATGGCTCCAAATTTTTTGATTAAACTCAAATTTTTTCGGTGTTTTCCTTCAAGTACAATATTAACCTCAAAACAAAGTCATGTACAATATTCCGAAAATATGAGTTATTTTCGTGAAATTTTGTAAATGAAAGGCAAATTTATTATAATTATTTGAAACAATACGTCCCAATGGCTCCAACATTTTTCTTTTAAATTTCTCTTCACACATGTCAAAGGGTGCTAAAATTTGGTGATAGTCTCACTAACAGCAAACTCACTCAATTTTCAAAAACTGCAAAAAGATAGAGATTTTTACCTTAAATAAAATCTGTTCTACTGAATCAGCTCTTTAAAAAAGCCATATACAATAAAAATGGCGTGTTTTGAAATTTCTGCTTGGAATTAATACAATTTGTAAAAACTTTTTCAAAAAACCTGTCCAAATTTCTTCTTTACATTTTTCTACATGTTTCTTTTTAATTGAATTCCCTGAATTTTCGAGCATATGCAAATTTGGAAATAACGCAAGAAAGTATGTGGTGTTGTAGGACTAGTTCGAATTGCCTTTCCTTGTATCTCTAGAATTTGTAATGAATTCCATTACTAAAATATTAAAAATACAAAAATAAAGATGGACACTAATTAGTTATTTGTAAATCCAGGGAGGAAAAACATTGGGAAAGAAACGAAGATATCTTTTACTAAATAAAGCAATTTTAGCAATCTGGAAAGTCATTAGCATTATAATTTTTGAGATTTTAACAGAGTAATAAATTAACAAGCAGGATTACAATTATTGGAACATGTATTTTAGTCCCAACAATTCAGAGCTGCGGGTCAGATTACTTTGTCAGGAAAAAGATAAACTGCAGAACTGAGAAATTGACAATCCAAGAGATCTGTGCTGGGAATGATTATCATACTCGCCAGCCCGGTGCATGAAGATGATAAGGGCACAAGTGCGGTGGCAAGCATGGTTCAGTGGGTTGCAGGTTCAAGTCTTTCATGAACATGTATGCAGCTTGTCCAAACCACCATTTATTGCGTAATAAAATAACCTTTCCTTCCCATTGCTTAGGTTAGGATTGTTAGGGTTATTTGGTCTGCAGTCCATGATGTGAATGCCACCTTTCCTTCTCCCAACTTTATGGTCTAAGAGTCATTATGGCCCCATGGCATCACAGGAGGCACAGTATGTACAGAGCTACTGTGGGTCTATGAATCTAATCAGTGTGAAGGAGTGGGAGGCTAATGCATTTGCCTCAGTGTGTCAAAGGTTAGTGATAGAACTGAGGGTGGGGGTGCTGGTATATCCCAGGAGTTCACAGTGGGGTCGCTATAGACCCCCTAGGGATCGATGAAATTTCGAAGGGGATTAATGATGGTGAAGGGATCGAAGGTAGTCAGTCAATGGTCAAATATGAACCAGCGCCTTGTTAGGAATATCAAGATCCCATTAATTACAAAAAAAATGAATGAATGAACTTTTCTGAAAGCAAATGTATATTAATAATTTACAAATTTGCTCCTCTCCTTTTGAATCCTTCTTTCATCCTTAGGAATTAGGATGTTCAGAAAACCTAAGGAATTATAACTGTGCATTGACTACATACTAATGCTCAGGAAGCTCTTTGCAATACGCACTGCAGAAATGTTATCACCCAATATTAAAATACACTACCTTTTTGTAACCATTGCTTTTCAATGAAAATTAGAAACACAGCTGCTCAGAAGCAGTAGCATCTTTGATAATTGAAAAGTCAAGATATTTACAAGAATATTGGGGATACCTAATTGTTATCTTTAAAGCATTTATGTGAAATTCTTTGTCTTAATTATGGATGCTGTATATTAAAGAGAAAACATTAGGGGGTGATGAAGCAAACATTCTATTGAAAGAAAAAGGTTGTGAATCCCTGGTATATCCCAATGGATATATCATTAAGTCGAATGATGATTATGACTATGACAATCAGCTTGATGGTATCAAATACATATCATATTGTTGCAGACCATAAAGAACCCCTCTTGCACATGGTTTTGAAATGTGATCAACTTTCATTCTGCATTCACAAAGACAAGTTTCTACCGACCAAAATTATATCAGAAGAGAAGTTTCATTGAGATCTAGTAACTTAGTAGTTGAACATAAATTTAGAACATAATTTATAGTTCTAAAACTCCCTCAGAAGTCCCATTATATGACTACACTATGCTGAAATACACTGTAAAATCATACATTGTCCCTGCATTATTCTGTTGTTCTAGGTCATTTAAACAAAATAAGTAAAGTTTTAAACTTTATCTGACAAATAGCTTTTTTTTTTTAAATAGTAACTTAAATATAAATTATTTTGCTTATATTGCTTTCTTAATTACTAACTAAATATTAAATATAAATACTTCAAAAAATTAATTAAATGAGAGGTACTGAACATCCATATTATCACACGAATGCTAGACACAGGTCTTTATTAATGACCATGAGTTAAAATAGAAAATAACAAATTATTTTAATTCAATATTTATTGGTTTCAATTCAATTTAAAAGGTTTGCTTTATAATTCTTAAATACAGTAGACCCAGGATTATCTGGACTGTCTCCCCCTTGGAGAATATAAAACTTGGATAATCCGGAGTTCATTTGGTAAACTACACTGTAAATATACAAACTGCAGACCACAATACAAATGAATCTCAGGATACATGTTTGATGGCTATTACCAACAATTCATTTATGAACATCTCTATTATAGTTTTTAATGGTCTTTGTTGTTGAATTTTGGATAACTTCACAATGCGTCTCTAAGCACTTCTTGGGGCATTGAGTGCTTGGAGTAATCCTTGAAATACTTTAATAAGTCAGTCTTTTCCTTTTATCTCTTTGGAGAGGGGCCTGACCCCGTTAGATTCTGGGGTTCGTAGATGGTCACCCTGCAATGTCTTGAATTCGCATAACCAACATGTTTTCACAGAACATAATTAAAAAAATCAGCTAGTGATGTTGACTCCTTCACATTATCATGGTTATACTATAATAGTATGTTTACATTTTATCAATTTAATAAACTACTTAGAGAACTTTCTTGATAAAAATATAATTAAAATTTTATAATGATATTTATACTTGAAAACTCACTTTTTTATTGAAAAAACATCCACCTTAATATGACAACTTGCACAATACCTCACAAAATACAACTAAAAGTCTTAAATAATACAAAAGCCAGAATATTAGTAATTTTGTGGAATATTATATTTACTGAATGATTTGAAGTAGGTAAATTAATTCTCACTTAAATTTGTTGATGCTGAAAGGACACTTGCAGGATCAAGACTTTCAAGCAAGCTTTTAAAGAAGCTGTTCATAAATTAGGGACTATTAATAAGATTGTTTCAATAGAAGGCATGTTTAATTCTTCTCGTTTGTCTTAAACACCATTTGATGATTTTAAATTAATAAACATTGTTTTTAAGTTGGGGGCAGTCACAAAAACCTAAAATTATACATGCAATATTTTATTTGACAGAAGAACAAGTATTCATAAATGATAGTGCTCAGTATTCCTATTTTAGTACTAAAAGTATTATATGGTTTTAACAATACAAAAAGTTATGAAGAGGAGAAACCATTTCTATCAAAGTAAATAAATGTTTAGGGAGCAAGTCTTTAAGATGCTAAGAATGTAATTAAGAAATTTGTGGATCTATCCATAACTAAAAGGCATAAACTAGAACTGAAAATGTTGCAAAATTGGGAACTGAATTTCACATGTCCTTAGTTTGTTTTTGCATACTGAATAAGAACAAATTGCTCGTATACAGGTGTCTGGAAGGAAACAACAAAACTTTGAAAAGAAGTTCTTAAGTCAATTTTAAGCATATTTTGTCTAATAAACTCTGTTTATATTTTAAGAAAAAGTAACAATAAAATGAAAAAGCAGTCATATTGTGTAAATTAGGTGCTTTTTTATTTATTATCTGTGTCATTTTTCTTTCTGAACAAACATATTTACTTCTTTTGAAAATAGTAAACAAATTAAACATGTTTCTGGAGTGTTTAATAATTTCTACAATGCGAAGTTTTGCCTAGAAATTTTTTGTTCAAACCAACTTTTGAGTGCTTATTGCAGCTCAGACATTCAGAATATCCAAGGAATTTATTAGACAAACTATGCTTAAAATTGTCTTAAAAGCTTTTTTCAAAGAAATGTTTCCTTCCTGGACTTCCTGCAATATTGCTTGCTGTTATGTTCTTGCTTTTATTCATTAAAAAAAAAGAGAGAAGACGATATGCAAAAGCATCATTGGAAGCAACTTGGAGCTATTATTTTGTCATTAATTCAAAATTGTTGTGTTCCTTCAAAACATTGAATACAACAAATGACTATCAAATTAAATAAAGGGTTATTAAAAATAGTTTCATTGTTTATTTGTGTAAATGCATAAATCAAATCATCATAAAACAAATATTGGTGCTTCAGGAATAGAACGAGTGGGAGGACTGATGGATTCATGCATGCTTCCTGGAGAAAGGGCCCCTGTGAAGAGGAGTAAAAGTTGGAGACGTGAACATCTGGAAACTTACAGCAGACATTCTAGGTATATAAATGTGCAAACTGTGAGAGAGGCAGAGCTGAATGAAACTCATTCTTCTAGCCAAACACAAATGGATTATTATGGTTTAAGATCCACAGAAAATGTAGCTTGCAACTTCACATCAGGTAATATTGACAGTGTTTCAATGTATAGGAATAGAGAAGCATTAGAAAATAATTCTGAAGGTAGATCTATTAGTAAATACGTTAAAAACATTAACGAGACCCAATATGAGAATGATATTAAACCTGCAAATTTTGATGATCAAGATCAGAAACCATCAGTTAAATTTACAATATTAAAGCGAAATGCTTGTGGAGCAGATGTATTGGAAAATGTCAGAATGGACACCAATGTTTCTGAAACATTACCTCATCACGTGAATGAAAATTCTGGTGTTGAAGACCAAAATGTAGTAGTAACAAAGCAGGGTATTATTCATTCTTCATTGAAAGATTCATCACTCAACAATCAAACAAGTCATTTAAATATAACTGCAAAAGAAAAGAACTTGTGTTCACCAAGAAGTGAGAATTTTCATCCTGTTCTTGGTAGTGACATTTCCACCTGTGGTCTGGCAGTAAATGATGAAAGCAATGAATCTGAATTGTCTGTTGTCCATTGTGAAGATGAATGCAAGACTGATAACAACAATGCTGAATTTTTATACGTTGATTTAAAGTGTTCTTTATCTGGAAAAGGCATACTAGATCCTCGACTTGAATCTAAAGTGCACTCTGGGAGTCTTGAATTAAATGATAAGCATAACAGTAATTACAGAATATCAAGTAATTGTGCAAATTCCAATAATTGCAATTGTATCCATCAATATTTGCTAAGTAATGGATTAATTGGGTATTTAATTACATCTAATTTCCATTTTCACATTATGACTATCCCACACTGCAACATTTTACAACAAAATACGAAAGCGAACATTGATGAACAAGATGACGAAGACATACTTCTTAATGTTTGTCAAGTTAAGCAGAAATTAACACTAAAATCAAAATTACGAGACATTAATAATAATAACAATGTCATATACAAGAGACCTGATGAGAGGCATTTCACTGCTCTAGACTCCAGTCTGAAACGAAACACTGCATTTGTTAGAAGGCTACGATTATTCACAGGAAGCCAGTTACCAAAACTTCTTGAAGACATGGCTACATTGAATTTAACCAAATATTTAAGTGAGATTGCCTCTGCTATTGTTGAGTGTAAATTAAAAATGTCAGATGTATGGGCAGCGGTGCAAATTTGTTGTGCTTTTCATCAACTGTATGCAGATTTTGCTTCACATTTGCTAGAGAATTGGCATAAAGTTCTTACTATTAAAAAGGATGATCCTATATCCAATGCTGCAAAACTTAGAGTTGACTTGCGCTTTTATGCTGAATTAATCACAGTTGGAATTTTTACACCACAAGAAGGACTTCCTATTTTGGGTAATGCCTTAACAATGCTTACGTATTGGGATAAAGATCATTACAATGTCAAAATTATTCTAAGTTTTTGTCGTCATTGTGGTCTTGAATATGCCCATTTAATATCGCAGAAAGTGAGGTTGCTTTCTGAAAAATACAATATACCTGTTCCGACTAGCAATTTTCTTTCAAATACAAAAATGCATTCTGTTAAGTCTTTGATCAAAGATTATTATGAATCTCTAAATAAGCATCTAGTTAAAGACTATTTGACAATGAGAGACTTTATAAAACAGAATACACGAATCCTTCAAACCAAAGGTGAACTCAGTGTGAAACGGAAGGAGAAACTAGAGTGTCTGCAGACTTCTCTGAAGAGACTTCTGGATGGGGCAATGCAATTAGCTGATATTCTCGATGAAGAAGCCCCCCAATTACCACCTGATACTTTGTCAGAAAATGAAGGGATATCTGTCTGTGAAACAAATGACTACGAAATCAATGAAGGAGAAACATTTTGGGAAGATGAAGACACTAGAATGTTTTATGAATGCTTACCAAGTATGAAAGATTTTGTTCCAGTGAAGAACAATAATTCTGTTGTGGGGGAAGAAATGCAAGATATCAGTTCTCAACAAGATGATTCATTTGAAGATAATGGTGATGATGCTGATAGTGAGATAGACAATTTGGATATGAATGTTGAAATTGAATTGGAAGAACAAGAGGATGAGGAGAATGAGGACGAGGAAATAGAAGAAGAAGAAACTGAAACAACAAATACTAGCAATAAGATGCTAATGGAAATATTTTTAAAATCGCTTCCTAACTGCATTTCAAAGGAACTCATTGATAAAGTTGCTATTGAGTTTGTTAAAAAACTTGATACAAAACCAAATCGAAAAAAGCTCATTAAATCATTGTTTACTGTCCCAAGAACACGACCTGATTTATTACCTTTTTATGCACGATTTGTGGCTGCAGTACATCCTGTTATTCCTGATGTTGCAACTGAATTGGGAAAAATGCTCAAGCAAGAATTTAGGTATCATATTCGTAAGAAAGATCAACTTAATATTGAATCTAAAATTAAAATTGTACGATTTATTGCAGAACTAGTGAAATTCAATATGTATGGAAGAAATGATGCTTTACAGTGTTTACGAATTCTAGTTCAAGATTTCAGTCACCATCACATTGACATGTGTTGTAGTCTAGTTGAAGGTTGTGGAAAATTTTTATCCAGATTTGATGATAGTCGTTTTCGGTTACATCATTATTTAGATCAAATAATGAGAAAGAAAACAGTGATTCCTTTAAATTCACGTTATGTTACTATGATAGAAAATGCTTATTATCAAGTAAATCCCCCTGAAATAGAACATAAAATACATGAAGATCGTCCTCCTGAGCATGAATTTATTCGTAATTTAGTTTATCATGAAATGACGAGATCTAATGTAGATGATGTTCTTAATATGATACTTAAGATTAATTGGGATGATCCAGTTACTGCATCGTATGCAGTCAAATGTTTAACAAGAGCTTATAAAGTTAAATATTTCAACATATCTTGTTTAGCAAGTTTAACATCAGGCATAGCCCTTCAGCAAGAGATGGAAGGAATCCAAGTAGTTGATAGTGTTCTTGAGGATATTCAGCTGGGTATGGAGCTTAATCTTCAAGAGCACTGTCAAAGACGAGTGGCAATGATAAAGTATCTAGGCGAGTTGTACAATTACCGTATGGTAGAAAATACCAACATTTTCAAAGCTTTGTATTCTCTCATCACTTTTGGTGTCACATGGAATAATGAATTATATTCTCCCATAGATCCTCCAGAAAGTTTATTTCGTATTAGGTTGGTTTGCACATTATTAAACACTTGTGGGGAATATTTTAGTACAGGTTCAAGTAAGCGAAAATTAGATGAATACTTAACATTTTTTCAGTATTATTTTTGGTTTAAATTTTCACAACCTTGTTGGAAATCTGATTATCCATTCCCTTATGATGTACAATACATGTATGAAGATATTGTAAAGCGCCTTCGCCCAAAAGTAAGATTATTTCTTTCATTAGAAGAAGCACAAAATGCTGCAAAAAAAATATGCATGGAATATGAAAAGCTCAATTTTCCTACAAGTGATTCTGAAACGAGTAGTGTTACTTATAGTGAAGACTTGGATAAAAAAAATATCTATGACACATATGAAGATGATAGTGACAAAACTGATGCTCAACCTTTTAAAGAAGTAATAATCTCAAATGAAAGTGCTACAACATTCAGTCCCACAAAGAAGAAGTCATTTGAAACCATAAATGCAGGAACTACAAATACGTCTCTTGATTCTCAATCAAACAATCATGGAAGCAACGATGATCACCTCCATGACTATTGGTCTATGTTACGTCCTAAATCTCCTGAGGATCAAGAATTTCTGAGTGCTTACGATCGCATGATAACGGAAAATATTCAGAATCGACTCAATGAACCTGTAAAACCACAACGTCTCGACATTTCTGTCCCATTGTTTATTGGAAGTATCTCAAAAAAGTCTCATGAAAAGCTGAAAACAGAAGAGAATCCAGATGCTGTAGTGAATTTTGTACTGATTCTGAGAAAAGGTCATAAAGCATTGTACAAAAACATAGCTGTGCCAGTTAATTCTGAAATGGCTGCAATTCGTCGATATAATGAAGAAGCTGAGAGAGCTGAGAAGGAGTATGTAAAGCGATTAACCCTTGATATTAATGAGAGATTAGAAGAAGAAGATTATCAGGAAATGCTTACTAAACTTCAAAAATCAACTCCTGGAAATCAGAATCGTGACAGGAGGCACAGATCACATAATTTTAAGGAAGTACCTAATGTTGATACTATATTCAGTCCCAATAAAAAGTTGAGATAATGAAATTGCTATCCAACTACGAGATCACTGTGAAAGGTCTAATGAATCTCTCAACCTTGAATTGTATATTAAAAACATTTAAAATAGTTCAGCAAGCTAGTAGCATTTTAAGCAAATTAATTTGTGATGCTACTAGTGGAAATGAGATTGCAAATTTTCTTCGAAACAGGAAACATTACCGTCCATTTCTTGAAAGATGTAATGTATGGATAGGGATTGAATACGCCATTTATAAGTGAGTGGTATTTTTAAGTGCCTAATGGAGTCAGGATTTAGTAATGGTTGTGAAAATCAAGTGCTGAATTATTCATAGGGTGCTATTTAATCCCAAAGACAAATAAGGTGTAATATTCAATTGCAGAAATGTACGATGTTTTTTCTACCACTTCATATTAGTACCATGTATGTTTCAATTTTATTAATCTAGTCCTAAAAAAATTATGCATAGTGTGTATTTCTGTGGAACTACAGGAAAGAATAACCATACTCTTCTTAAACAAGGAGTTGCTTTTCTTTTCACTTGAATATTCATTCTATATATATATTATACCCAAGGCCTTAAGTATTCCATTCTCTGAAGTACTTGAGGCCAAAGTTAGTATTGCATTGAGAAATATCAAAACATAACTTGTGGTTAATTTAACATTTTTCTGAAATATTAATCTCCAGTAGCTCTGCAAAGAAAATGTACCAAGAGATGAACTGTAAAGTGCAAAGATGTAAGAATGTTTTATTTTCATTAAAATCACTTTTGTATTAATTATTGTTGACTAAGTTTCTGTTTCTTTTCATTCATGTTAATTATTCAGCCAAGTGAACCCAGAGTGCTCTGTACATCATCTGTGTGATGCACCTAACTATTTTGTCATATTTGAAGTATTGCAGAGACCAAAAACTTTCCTTTAAAATAATTATAAATATCCATGAATTATCTCTGTACTGAAAATCTTTTGTAATCAATTATTTGTTTAGGATGGTTAACTGATCTGATAATTAGCATTCGGGTTACTATTTTTAAGGGGGATTCAAAAAGTTTTGAAAGTGACCTGCCAAAATCTACAATATAACATGTATTGGAATACAAATCTTAATAATCATTCTAAGTTCTCCCCATCGTGCTCCACACATCATTGGAGGTGCTGCAGCCATTTATCAAAGGCACTGCAATACTCTCACTCCGAGGTATTGCTATTAGAGCTGAATTTATGGCTTGAGAAAGGTTTTGCACATGTTTAAAGGGCTTTCCAGTGATCTGAGGAAACAATCAAACATCGGAAGGTGCAGGGCCAAGACTGTAGGGTGGATGTTCGAGAACATGGACTTGTTCTTTTTTTAGTTTCTGCATAATTGCATGTGTTCTGTGAGCAGATGCATTGTCATGCAAAAATAGCACTCTAAGAGGTTTGTCTTTAAATGTCTTTTTTTCAAATCTTCGAATAGAGCATCCAAACAAATAGTACCATAGTATGATTAGTTCATGGTCTGACCTTCCGGCATACATAAAAACACCAATGGTCCTTCGTAGCTGAAGAAAATTGTGATAAGTTGCTTCTCTGGTCTGAAATTTTGTCAAAGAATGACTGGTCTTTATTCATTTGTGTGGCATGGTGCATCAGTAAAACCAACTTACATCCCCTGTGCATGTCTGTCACTCTTTTTGACCCTTTTGGTGGAAACATAATAATTAATCTGCCACCCAATCCTCGTCATCTGTTCTTTGGTGAGAGAACAAAGAACCCATTTTGCACAAATCTTTACCAGCTGTAAATGTTGGTGGAGTATTGTTTCCATGCTACTAACAGATGCCAATATCCCTACTTAAGATTTTCACAGTGATATGATTTTTTCAACTGCCTCACACAGTGAATAGTTCTCTAGTTCACAGCTTCTTGAGATCACCCACAGTAAGGGACATCTTTCAAGCTCTCCCTTCCATGCTCAAATGAACAAATCTATCCGGCAATGGTGTCAAATGAACACACTTGAACCATTGAACTCCTTTGAAGTTGTCATCACTTTTAGCCTTTTCACCTAGCTTGTACCATGTGAAAATATGTAATAAATGTTGTTTGTAGAGAAGTCCATGTTTTTACACTAACTTCTGAGGCCTAGTTTATTCAGACAGTGCAGGAATGAACTTGCACTGAGACACAAATGTATAGCAGAAAATTCACAGAATTCAGACATAATACTCATTTTCGTTCAATAATGCAGACTTCACTTGCTAAACTTCTTGAAATCCCTCCATAATAACCCAGAGAGGTTGAGGCAGTCATTCTTTATTATCATGTCAAATTGTAATTAGGTTTGCCTTACAGAAGAACTGCATTAGCGTAACCAAAATTTCAAAGGGCAAGTCTAAATGCTTATAATAGAACATATAGTATTCAATATACACATATTGTTAGACATCAAGTTAAGAGCATTTACCCACTGATTTTCTAATCCACTGCTCTTCTAAATAACAAATTAGTTATGGAACATACCTTAGTAGATATAACTTCAAAGCATTCCTTTATTGTTCATGTATATTGTATCTTATTGTCTTATATTATCTCCTGTTATATTGTATTCCTATATCCTATGTGTATATAACCCACCATTTGGAAACTTTCATGCATTTCTTAAATATATATTCTTTATCATCTGTATAAATGAAAGAATCATACTGCGTGGAGATTTTATTATTGACTTTCTTCAGTTCCAATTTGCAAAGGGACGAAGTCCTAAAGACTTGATACAACAATAAACTAATATACTAGAATAAATCATATGTCAAAAGCAGCCATTAACACAAAAATTGTCAGTAAATCCCAGTACACAAAAGGTACTTGGTATTTTTTGAAAAAGGCCTTAATAATCACTGTACATAATTACTCCAACTAATCCCCTACAACACACATCTAAAGGAAAACAGAACATACCAAACCAGCGGAAGGTTTAGATATAAAAACAAAAATTGGTTTATAGATCACCTATTTCACAATCTAAAGTAATAAACGAGGCAAATATTTTCACAATTTTTTTTGTCTCTTCAAGATAACACTTTAATGTATTCTTCCCATTTTAGTTAAGGAAAGTAAAATTGTCTACTAAATCCAAAATCCAATATTTGGTTAACAAAAGATACATATTCTTGAGAGACAAAGAAAAATCTGTTCACACAAAAAAGTTTGCTAAAAGCACTGCACCCTCACAGCACTTTGAACATGCTCAATACACTGTTGAATCAAATAATAAAATGATCACCAAGTGGAATGTTATCAACAAACACATTGAAGTAATTGTTAATAAATAAACATAAGAAAATTGTCAACAATTATTTCTCAATGCTGCAATGAAACATCACTAAAGTCATAAGTTAACATGAAATACACCAAATGAGATTCTTCTCACAATGAATATGCTATCAAACAAATTTTCAACAGTAAAAAATAAAATTCTAGAATTTTCTCTGAAAAAAAATTGCTCCCTAACTATTGAAACCACTTTTTGTATTCAGGTTGAGTAATTTTGTGTAGTAAAAAGCATCCCAGTGCATCCCTTTCAGTATTTGCAACATACCATTCTGTTACTATTGTGACCTTCGAAAAAGATTCCAGAGTCTATGGCCTACAATCCGAGGGCTTCAGGGCTTGCTTTCAGCAAGGACTTGGAGCTTGGACATTATATAAGAAAAATTGTCAAAAAACTGCTGGGCAGTATTTAAGTGTTTCTCAGCATAATAGTAAAATTTTTGTTCAAAAAAGGATACACATGAAGTTATAAATTATTGACCCATCTCATTTCTGTTTTCTCAAAAATTCTTCAAAAAAATATTCCATGAAATGTTAAAACATTTCACCAATTAGAAGAGAATCATAACTAAGGGGTTGCCAATAAATGATGTAATACTAGGGGAGGGGGAGGCAGCATTACATAGTGGAAGGTGGTGGTAGTTTAGTGTTATATAATGCTGATACTTTTTAATTTTTCAACATTTGCTGAAATAATTCCTTTTATTCAGTTTTATTTTAAAACATTGAAATATTTTCTTCCCCAAGGGCTTTTATCCAGACAACAACAGTTACCCTTTACATTCGATCACACACACGACACTAGCACACTTGCGGGTTCCTCAGATATGGGCTCAGGGACAAACAAGCATGCCCAAGGCAGCCCCCGCAACCCTTTGAACCAAAACATTAAAATATTAACAAATTAAATTAAATTAGTGGTGCAACAGAATGGCACAGACTTTCTGCTATTAGTTTTCAATTTTTATTGGTCTTTGGTCTGGGTTAGCTATTCAGACTTGCCACATAATCCAGCCAACTGCCATCTATCGCCGGAGCTGTTTTCAGGAAAATGGTGTTTAAGCGTTACTGTAAATGTGAAATTTGAGGCCCTTTTTCACAGGAAATTTTTGAGGTTTCGAAACACTTCATTGGAAGTCATTTGAAGCACTTCCATTCACAAATGCAATAATGTAAACAAATCACTGTAAATGTGCATAATAACAGCGTGAGATATATTAAAAAAAAAAAAGAAGAAAAAAGTTGTATAATTTTTGAAAGAACAAAAGAACAAAAAGCAAAATTAATTTTATGTCATCTTAATCAGTGCAATTAGCACTATCCACTCGAAAAGTTTGAAAAAAAAATTTTTGGAGCCACTTTTGAGAAAATGGCGTTTGAGAGTTTCTGAAAAAGCGGAAGTTTGAGCTAATTTTCAGAGAAAACTATTGAATTTTCCAGAAACTTTATATGATGTTGTTTAAACTATATGTACTCATAAATGTAACAGTGTGAACAAATAGCATGGGCCAGATATACATAAGGCAGTCAAAATTTAGAAGAGAATTGACACTAAGGATAATATCAAAGGTTGACCAACTTAAAATCAGGCATGTCAATTTCCTTCCTTACCAATTCTGTATATTCACTAAACAATTAAGTTTGTAAAGACACAACTTCCAAAGAAAAATAGTACTTAAGGTAAAACTTATAAAATCAACATAATACTAGGCAATCAAATCATCTTACTCATCAATGAAACTGCCAAAAAAACACACAGATTGTATGTCTCTAAATAGGCCTCTTTAATAAGCTCAACATAATACAGTAAATTAAAATATTTGGTCACAAAAGAAGTGAGGAAGGCAAAAGATGGATTTTGAGAATAAAAATGTGACAGATTATACAAGTGCATTGGTAGTACCAAATCCTGAGGGGCATGGAAAATGTTACATTCCATAAAACTGTATACTACCCACAAATGGCATATAGTACACTCAATTGGTATTGAAACATGGCAAAAATATGATGAAAACCTTTTAACTGAAAATAAAAATTTCAGGGAATAGATTATGAACCACTGCAGGTAAATTCAATCGCACCAGAGGTGGCTCTGGACAAGGTAAAAGATGTTTTAAGAACATGAAAAGCTCTAGTGTCTGGAGGTATATCCATAGAGTTTGTCATACATTATCCTATTGTCACTTTGGATTTAATTACAGCAATATTCAATGGCACTTTAAAAGGAGGTAAAATGCCAAAAATATGGAAATTGGCTTATATAAATTTTAATTTACAAAAAAGGCAGCCAAGAAGTTAGTAATTACCATACTCGAGTTAACAGGAAGTCCTTTCAGCGTTTCGAGCTGGCAGAAGTGGTGGACCTTGTCATTGAATCGTGAGCTTTGTCAAGCCGTAAATTTTTGCTTTATTTAGTATTGGATGACAGTGTTCAAATATCTTTTCAGCTCATGACCTTCAAAGGACTTAGTTTATTAATCAAAGTACATTGAGGGATAAATGTGACTTCCTCTTTGGTTAGACTGCATGGACGTGTGCTAAAAAAATTGAAGTGAATTACAAAAGTCAGACTAATAAAAACAAAAGAGTTATAAGCCAGGAATATTCTATTTTGACAATATTTTCTGTCTCAAACAAATGACAGAAAAAAAATTGAGCAAGGAAGAAACCTACACATAATTTTCATAGACCTGAAAAAGGTTTATGATAATGTACCAGTAAAAGAAGTATAGGGGAATGGAAGACAAAGGAATATCAACAATATATGTAAATGAAGTCAAAGAACTTTATAAATATAACACAAGACAAGTAAAAGTAGGAAAAGTCTATCAGTCAACTTCCCAATAAATAGCATTACGGAAAAGCAGGTATATTCCAACCCTCCTTAAGCTGAACATTGATAGAGCCTTGAAAGAATGGAAAAGAAAGTGTAGCAGTAAGGGAATGAAAAAAGGTAATGAAACATTGTTTCGTCTACTATTTGCAGACAAAGTGATAATAGCAGAAGAAGACAACAATGTAACAGTTTAAGTTTAGAAGTGTAAAAGAGTAGGGAAAGTGGGAAATGAAAATGAATGTGCAAAAGACTGTGTGTATGGTCCACGATTTAAGAGACTAGTGTAGAAATAGTTAAAGCTACAAATATACAAGGAATAGTTAAAGGAACAATATAAATATTTGGGAGTCATACTAACAGCAGATGGTAGAGATGAACAGGATGTGAAAAATTAAAATGAGAGAAAGCCACTAGACAGCTGAATCAAGTGCTATGGAACACAATTATTTCAGTGAAGATAAAGAAACACATATTTAGCTCCTTCATAGAGAATACAATACTTTATGGGGCACAAGTCTGGGCACCAACAAAAACAATGAGAGGCAAACTGCAGGCATGATGTTCTAGCTATAAAATTGAGGTGCAAACTACCTTAAAGAAGACAATTGAAATTAAACAATTAACATGGTATGGACATATGAGAAAGTTCAAATCAAATAAGACTTCCATAAAAAGTTTGGAAATGGATACCCAATCGAAGAAGATATAGGGAAAGATTAAGGGCATACACGGCGATAACTGAAGCCATGGAGAAAAGAAAAATGGGAGGAAAAATATGTGTGAAATAACAAGGCATAGAAATTGGAATGCGGAAAATGGCCAAGGCTGTAAAACAACTGCTAAATAGATTAACATAAATGAATGAATAAACAAATTAGGAAATGTAGATTTACTCATGTTGATGAATACCTTAATGACTAAGTTAAAGAGTCATGAATATACATCCTTATAAATAAAAATAAACAGATTATCACAAGATGCTAATTAATAATTATTTCTAAAATTATTCTATAATAATGTATGTACTATTTAATTTGTAAGGCTACTTACACAAGTTATTACTTATGTACTTACTTAATTTATACTAGTAACACTAATTTTATGAAACACTGGTATAATGTAATATTTAATTTTATGTAATGGAATGCATAATACAATATTTATTAAATACATACACTCTCCAATTAAAATATTAAATATATTTGTAATGCATATATTTATGAATGTGAATGTATGCATGAATGTAATTGTAAACCTGTACAAATTAATTGTATATTTTTATTATTTATGTAAGAATTACGATGAGCTGAGGCAACTTGACTGGGCCTTTTTAGTCTTCTTACACTACCGTTTAGAAAAATTAATTAGCATTGTATTGTATTTTGTACAAAATTGAATTGAATTTTTATTTTCTGTACTACTGTATTTAATTTTTAGTAATACCAGTATTGTACATTGTATAATTATGTACATATTCTGACTTGTCTGGATTACCTTGGTTCCTGGATTCTCCTCAATATGGATTTATGATAGGAAAACCTTAAAAAAATATTTTGCTTAATAGCATCGATTTGGATATTTACAGTTCACTCTATCGCATCCATTCACACCACATCAATTCATACAAAGCCGTATACTTTGCACAAAACGCAAATTGCATTAGCGGCCATCCACGGCAGGTTAGGCAGAGGTTAGGAAGGAAAAGCTCCATATCCATACCCCCAGAGCGAGAGCACCCACGGATAGCGCGATCACTCCCATGCACAGAGAACCCACCAGATCTCTGTTAATTTATTGGTCTGTGAAGCTGGTTGCCAGTTATAATACTCTATTTGCCAGACAAGATCACTGGTTCCAAGCGCATCATCGGTTTTTGGCAACAACGTCAAATCATAGATTATAACATTCTTCCATGGTCAAATCTTACTAACGCAGCGTCCTCGACATAAAATTAAGTATTCCAGAGAGCACTGATCATACTGTTTGAATAGAATATTCGATTAATTTAAGAACGATTTATTTAGTCGTGCACTTGACGTAAATCAGCTGTTGCAGTTTCATCCGATCGGGAACATTTGTCGCTACAGAGACGTCACTATGGTGACCATGGTGACGATCAAGCTCCCGATTGGATGAAACTACGAATAAGTCCCAGTTTTGACGTCTTCATAATCTTTGGCGTAACCATGTTTGCCAACTTGTCAACATCAGTGTTATCATAGATTTACACCATGTAAGTCATGGTATCATAATATCATGAACCCGGATGAATAGTGTTGTTTTATAGTATTTAATAACATGGTATCTTGCCTCATAAATAAATTAATTTCTGCCGAATGTTGATTCTGAATAGTTAAACTTATACAGAAACTTAAGTTTCTTCGCATAATTATACGTATTTGGGTACCAATGTAAAGTATTGAACGCGATGTAAGAAATAGCCTTACACCGTGGCTGAAACTGAATATTGGCCACAGAGTATTGGCCATATGTCACGAACACAGTGTTCTTATTTTCTCTTTCTAGTTCACGGATTTGGAGACTTCCTGACCACAATTAGTGATAAAAAGTTATAAGATGTTCAAGATTTTATTCATTATCACTTCAAGAACTAATTTAAATAAAAAAAATATTTTTTTCGTAGATATTAGTATCTAGGAAAACCTCTTCATGTTGAAAAATAATTATTGTCAAAATCTCATCATTATTTTATTACTTTATAAATTAAAAATTAATTAAGCAAATAAAATATATTTTTATGTATTTTCGAAACGTACATTGATAAGCCAGTTATAATCAAGCAATGTTTGTGTTATATTTACAACATTGGCATCCATGTTCCTTGTGAATACTCTTTGGACAAAAAGGGATTCCCCTGCATATTGTAACGTGCTATCTCCGCTGGCATTCCAATTTCCAGCTCGTGGCAGCTAACGTCCTATCCGTAGCCGTACTGGGCGGACTCTTTGTTGTAAAGGCTGTTTTAAACTTTGGTTCGTCTGTAGATCATCGTGTGCAGGTAATGAATTGACATTAGTTAATAGAAATTTGACAGATGTATGTTACTTACTTTCTATAGGAATAGAAATGCAAGTTTATGGAGTGATGGGAATTGCAACTTGCTAACACAGACATGATCATTCATAAGAACTGTGGTTAAACCACGAGTATTATCTGATTTCTCTTGAAAATAGGCAGAAAATATATATATATATATATATATATA